GTTGGAGCAAGTCTGTAGGAGGGCTATGAAGATGATCAGAGGACTGGAGCACCTATGAAGACTGGCTGAGAGAGTTGGGGCTCTCCAGCCTGGAGAAGAGAATGCTCTGGGGAGACCTTATAGCAGATCTCCAGTACTCAAAGGGGGCCCCCAGGAAGAATGGGGAGGGACTCTTTATTAGGGAGTGTAGCAATGGGAAGAGGGGGTAATGGCTTTAAACTGAAAGAAGGTAGATTTAGATTCAATCTTAGGAAAAAATTCTTTACTGTGAGGGTGGTGAAACACTGGAAGAGGTTGCCCAGAGAAGTTGAGGATGCCCCATCTCTGGAAGTGTTCAAGGCCAGGCTGGATGGGGCTTTGAGCAACCTGGTGTAGTGGGAGGTGTCCCAGCCTATGGCAGGGGGGTTGGAACTAGATGATCTTTAACATCTTCCAACCCAAACTATTCTATGATTCTTTGAAAGTCCCCTCAATCAGGATTCTACAGTTAAATAGCTTTTGGAAGGAGCACGTCTTGATATTTGGCTCACGACTGAATGGTACAGAGGTAGTGTAATTCTACTTCATCTAGCATGTCTGTTCTCCTCTCTGTCAGATCAGTTACTGGAATAAAACCAATGCTCTTGCAGTATAGCTTGGATACTTGTCAAAATATCTTGAGCTGCTGCAGAGCAGTCTTCCCAGTGTGGTATTATCTTATTCCTGCCGTTCTGCCCTCTTTGAATCGGGCTGCTTCCTGAAATGGGTTGTTCGGTCTCGTATGTTGTTTCTGTTCATCCACACCTGTTGTCACCAACGAAGATACTTGTCCCACCTCTGTTGACTGTGAGCGTTTTCCCACAATTTTGTCATGCACTTGCAGATGATTGCTTTACACCCTAGAGCATGACATTTGATAACACCATTGTCGTTCTTTATTCAAGTAGAGTGGCTGCCTCTGTTAATAGGTGTGTAATTGTCCAGCCCTGTTAATGATCTTATATTGACTAAGAGAACTTTCAAGGAGTGACTTCCTTGGATGCAACAACTGCGCTCTTGGCCTTGTGTCCTCATGATAAACATCAGCTTCTTGAAGCTAGTTTGGAGCAAAGTGGAGGCACAGCTATCCCATTTAATTCAAAAGAGTCGGGAAGCATTTGGCACCTCTTCTTGTGGAGCTAGCCCAAATGGAACTCTTTCACAGAACTAAAATACTAATTATATAATAGCATTTGACAGTTTGCTTCCTCGCTGGGCTAGACACAAATGGGAGATCTTACTGGACACCTTCCCTCATCATAGGAAGGCATTTTTTCACACAACTTTTTGAAGGAAGAGTATTACTCTTTACCAAAACGTTTTCCTTCTATCCCTAAATTAGAGAAGTTGTGGGAGCCTTATCAACACGTGTGGTCCAGAAGGGATTTGAAGGCAGACGTACTATCTTGCCCCTAAAGCTCAGGTGTATTTTTAGGAAGGGATGAAACAATAGTGCAAATCCAATGGCAATGAACTTTGAATAAGAACCTGTTACTATTTCGTTGTGCAAAATTTCCTCCCATCCCTGCCTCAGTTCCAGTTTCTTACTATCGCCATCAGTATGCACTTGCTGTTAGCTAAGTAACCCCTTGATTTTTTGAGTTGTCTGGCTTTATCCGTAGCAATAGTTGGATGACCAGGTCATTGCCACAACTAAGGTTTTCTCCTGTCCATAGTTAATCTGTTTATGCCATTGTATAATCAGTTTTATTTGTTTCCAATGACAAAGATTTTTGAGAATTTGTCTGACTAGAAATGGCTTCACTACTCCACACCTGTGAACAGTTAAGAACCCACCTTTCAATCTTAAGGAGAATTGATGAAAGACAATATTTGTGACAGAGGGGAAAATGGATTGTTTCAGGAAAAAACAGTTGTTACTCCAATTTTCAAAACTGTTTTAACTCATGATTTTCTTTCAGAGGATGATTATCTGTAAAGCTAGGATGAGCTCCAAGTGTAATTTTCTGTATAAGCTGCATTGAACTGTTGTAGGACACTGAATTTATCATTAATAAATCAGTATGTATCAGTTAACCAGTTCATTTTACAGAGCAAACCTGGAAATGAGAATATCATCCAGACTCCAAGCAGAAGGAACCCTGGGGGTGAATGGAGTACCAGTGTGATGTATGACACTGTCATGCTTGTACATAATATGTGTCAAAAAGCCTGAAACCAAGGAAGGTACCTCCAGAGGAAAAATAACTAATGACTTGGTGGTGCAAATCAACTTGTTAATAGATATTGCCATTATTCATAGAGTATTTTACTTAACTGCACGTAATGAGGACAGCCAGTCAGAGAGTAGGAAACTGTTCAACATGACGAGGAGTAATGGAAATTGCACCTGGACAGTGTTTTCTGTTTGGGGCTGGGAAATCCACTGAAGAAGATTACAGGTTTAAATAAAAATCAATGGTATTTCAGCTTGGAGTCTATAGGGTCCAAACAGCTCTCTTTTCTTGGATTCAAGTCCTGTTCTCCAAAAGTCTGAGAGAATAAATGTACAGATGTGAAATGACACCAAGACAATAGGCTCTTTATGTTAGTCTGCCAGTTATCTGAACTAGTAATGGGCTCTCAGACCTCTAATTTGAAGAGGGCCTTCTTTTTATTTATAGCAAGAGTCTGAGCTTAGCTTCTCTTGACATGCTAGGAAATGGAAGATGTGAACAACTTTTTTCAGCCCCCTTCATTACTGAACTGGTTTTCTGCAAAGAGCTGAGAATGCCATGAAAGGAAGAAATGTTGGATATGTTTGAGACTGGTTAGAATTCAGGCAGTCCTGAATTCTGAAGTCCTGAAGCCCAGGACAGCTGAAACTTCAGAAAATGCCCATCAGGAGTTCTATTAATTTTTTGAACTGCGTTTAAATCTCCCCTTTCTGCCTTTATGCATTATCTGGCCACCTGGGTATTTAATGAATCCTTTTTATGTCTGCATATTTGCTGAAGGAACCCATTATTGAGGAAATCCTTACAATTTGTGTTTGCATGTCACAGTTTTTATGTAAAAATAAAAATGGAAGTAAACAAACAAGAGGTAAGGTTCACTGTCATTCTACTCTCCCTTATGGGCAGGTAAGGGAAAATTGGATTCACTGAATTTATTTTATAATAGTAGAGTGATAGCTAATTTAAATGCAGCAAAAGCTGATAAGTGGCAAGTGATGAAGTGGAAAGATGATCTCATGGGAGCTTATTTGAACTCTTTCAGTTTTTTGACGTGCATATCCCTCTATCAAAGCCAAACTGAAAGCAGTAGACTTTAAAAAGAATTGGGGATCATACCTTATTTTTAAAAAGCCTCAACAGAAGAGAGTTTCAATCTCCTGATATGCCAGATCACCTGCTCCTCTACTAGACGTACAGCCAAAGACCCTGTTAATAAAATGGTTCTGAGATCTTGTTAAAGAGTTGAAATAAGTGGTTTGGTTTCCTTAAAGTGCTGAGGGCTAGGTACTCTTTGTGGCTACCGGCTGGGCATTCAGCACTGAAGGGTGTCAGGTTGTTTTAACCCCTAAAAGCTTAACTATTTTTATCTCTGAGAATCCTGACTGCCGTTTAAATGTGAAATTGACTTGCTATTTGAATGCAGGGGACCTAGGACGCCACTTCACCTACTGCTCTTCATGAGGGCAAGGAAAATCCACACATATCCATGCTTTGCAAAGAGACTCTTTCCCCATGGTTGTGCTTTAGCGTTGCCGCATAAAGTGATTCCCTGCATTCCCATCGCCTTTGGTGAGCACCTGCTGATTTTGCAGGTAGAGGACTTTCGGCAACATCTAAGGAAAGCAGAATAAAATGCCTGAATCGGAAAACACCATTTTGCTCTGATTTTTCTTGTTGGAAGCTCATCCTTGAGCTTCCCTGATAAAAGTATAGTCTGCTTCCAAAATATTTCTGCAGTTGCCCTAGCTAGGAATGTAGAACAGAATGAACAATTGCATCAGTTACAGAAAGAAAAGAAGTTTTGTATTGTGCTCCTGGAGGTCTCATCTTGCAAATGAACAGCTTTTGTGCAGTAATCACTGGTTTGATGATTCAGACAACATCCAGAAAAAGCAACTCTATTGTCAGGAATCCCACGTATGCAGGTGAAACCTGCCTTCAGTGTTGTTTGAGCCAAGATATAGCCAACCTTAGAGTTCTGTTTATGTTGCTGTTATTGTTCCTGTTGCAAGCTTGTTTTTGTTACAAGCTCTAATTCTGTGGTGACTTGGGTCTCTCTTGAGAATTATAATTAAGAATGTGGCACAAAGAGGGGATTCCTGCTTCTTGGATCTGTAAATAACAGATTTCTCTCTTTCTCTCCCTATTTTCAATTTGGATTTGCTGCAGGTGCATAGGGCCACGTATTGAGGACTGCATCGGCCTGATGGATAGGTACTTGCTGAGTGATCGTTCCCTGTGTGTCTTCCATCCTCCACGTGTGGACAAGGGCGCATGCGTGTGCATGTCCTTGTGAATGGCAAATGACGTCTTTTGTTCTGTAATTGCCTGCAGGTGTAGAGGTCCCGCTAGTCATGACTGCATTTACTATCCATGGACACGACAGTCCACTTTACCACAACATGCTAGGTAACATCCACCACTTTTCCATTTTTGTACGCAAGATCCTTCCCTGGTTACCATAGGAATGTTCTACTATCCAGTTTGTTCAGAAATGCAAATTCTGGGGAGAATATAATTTGTTCTTAAGTAAGATATGCCTCTCAACATCCAAATTTACTTTTCTGTTTGAAAGCCAACTAAATATCATGCTTGTTTAGACTGATTAAAACATGCCTTTTCAAAATTACTATTTTTAGGTTAAATAAAGATTCAGTTCTGAATTTTTTTTCAGAAATACGTGTTTCTTGATGAAATTTTACTGGAAGTAAACATGGTGAAAACTCTGGTTACATTGGAAACTTTTTTTTTTCCCCATTTGTTGGGTTTTTTGTTTAAGACTGCTTAAAAGCAAGTGAAACTTTTTCTCCTATACTACTTCTCCGGAAAAAAGTAAATGTTTCAGCAAAACTGAATTTCTTCCTTAATTCACATAACGCTATTATTTGAACTTTTTTTCCATTTTCTATTAAAAAAAAATATTATTGTAACCTTGCAGCAATTTTGTTTTTCAGAAATGACAATCAAAACAAATTAATGTAGGAAGACTCCCAAAACACTCCAGTTATACTCTGCATTCTTTTTCATGAAAGCCCTTCATTGCCATTGAGTTTGTTTATTTTTAAATTCAAACTGGTTAGTATGACTTCCAGGCTTTGGGATTACTGTCCTGAGCTAAGACTGGATGAAAAATATAACATTTCAATCAACTTCACCTCATTAAGGATTTTACTCCGGAGTTGTTTTTTTCTTGTCTTTAAAAAAAAAAATAGTTTTTACAGTTGCCTTTCCCTCCTAGTTGTGTATCTAATGTGAATATTCCTATTTATAGCTGTTGAGGGAGAACATGTTTAGACTTGAAAAACAGTACTCTGTGAATGCTATCAAATGGTATATTTGTTTAATTAAATCAGTATCAGTTCTGACAATTTATGGACCAACGAATAGACAACAGAAGAAGACTGAATTTTTCAATATTTCAATATTTTGTTTTAGTTTTTCTGATCTGGGATAGCCAGCTTGAGGTACTTCTGTGGGGGACTCATTTTCAGATGTAGTCATCCAAACTGAGTTGCCCAAAACAAGCAATCAGTTTTAAAGGTCTCCATTTTGTCAACTTCACTCAAAGCACAAATACAGAAAATGTATTATTTGCATAAGTTTAGGGGGCTTACCAAACTACTAAGAATGAAGGCAATGCTGAAGTTCTTTGATTTAGTAACTAATTTAAAAATAACATGTATTTCACCAATTGGATTTTTTAATCAGTTTTCTGAGGGAACGTTAAGGGCTTTACACTAGGAAGACAACTTATTTGCTCTAAGGTAGCTCTCTTAAAGCGTTACTGGCTGCTTGCTTTAGCTTCCTCTGTTAGCCCAAAAGCCAGTCAAACCTTTTCCATTGTTTAATTAAAGTGGTGTAACTCCAAAACTTAGCTTTGCACTGAAAACGTTCATGTAGTAGTAAGATGTCTGGAAGTACTGCCAAACACCCACAGAATTTGATGGAAAGAGTCCTGTTAATCGCAGTGGATGTTAGATTGGGCCCTGTATTTAAAAGTGGAATTAAATGAGTGGAACCTTGGACGTGGTGACACAACACTAAGGAAAGTGGTGTCTAGTAGAGTTCCAGGCTTAAGCCATGCATTAACAGGCAGTGCTTATTTTGTTTTTTACATTGTCTAAATCGTAGGTTTTGTCTCATTGAATCTACTGTCAAGGTAGTAAAGCAAATTATCAAGGGGGGTGGAAATTAAAGCAATTGTTCTAGTATGCTCAAGTGAATAATTTCCTGCTCCATTCAGTCTGAGGGGGAAGGCCCTCAAATGTTTCCTTTAAATCTGATGGACTTTTTAAATGTTCCAACTTTGCTGAATTTATTTTAGGAAAATTACTGCACTGTGTTTAAATCTCAGTATGTATGTATTCTTTCACTTTCAAGCCAAAGAAGGAAATTTCATACCTTTATATTTATTAGATTAGTGAAATTGTTCTCTTTGTGAAAATGGTTCATTTTGTTTGGGCTAAAAATGGGCAAAACTGCACTGGCAAAGTGATATTTTTTTATTATGTTAGGGGTGTAAATCAACCATGAATATGTTTCAGTTCAGGTAGAACCTTGTTCATGTCCCTTTAGCAATTGCATGCCTTCCCTAGATTTACAGACCTTAAAATAATTAATAATCAATTTTACCTATATCCATTTACCTGAATTTCTTCCATTCATGTGAATTAGCAGTGAGTTGAAGGGCAGAGTTCTCTGCTGTTCGGGCAGCTGAAAGTGAGAGCGGGGCTCTAACCACAAGCAATGAGATATTTCTCGTTCACCTATTTCCGTTTTCAAACCAGTGTTGCTTTTTCCAGTTTTGCAGTTTGCAAATTGGTTTTGCCATGATCCATTGACTTGACAGCTTTTGTAAGAGTCTGGTAGAATAGCAAAGGAATTCTTACCATCGTGTTTAATAAAGATGAATCAGATGTGCATCACATGACTTGTTTTCCAGATGACCGGTGAAGACAGAAAAACTGAAGTTGTGTTTGGACCCTTATATTTTGTGGGAAAAAAAAATTCTTACTGTTGGCATGGCGTGTCTTTCTGCATCGATGTTTGGGTTTTTTAAAACCTTTAGCTTCAATAGACTTCTGTCCAAAACAATGCAAAAAACCCTTTTCTTTTCCTGTTTCCAGCTCAGTGCCACATATAAAAGCTATTTTAGCTCTTTTCCTGTAGACTACTTGATAGATTTTTCAAATGACTATTAGCTTACTTGCTGGATCTCCTGTGTCTTTTTTTTTTTTTTTTCCCCCCTGCGAGGACCCACACTTATTTTCGATGTATTCAGTTTATCGTCAGAGAAGCTTTTATTGTATTCATAAATGCCAGGAGAAGTTTAAACTCTAAAGGAGTTAGAAGTCATGGGAGAAATGAGTGCCTCTTCTGCTTGTGGTTGGTTGCAAATTCTGGTTATTGTCATTATAGCTCTTGATCTACTGTAGTTGAAATCATATGGCAGGGAAAGACTTTCCTCACATCTGTGACAGACATCCTGTCTGTATTTATACTGTGTTTAATTCATAGTGTCCCTATCACAATGTTGTCTGATTGTAATTTGTGTGATTCACTGAGTCAGTTTGCTGAGCAGATTTTCTGGCTGACCTCTTTGGGTTGTTCAGACGGCATAGAGGCCTGAAGGAATGGGACAGGCTAGCAGAGAATTCCCCGTGCAAGGTGGAGTCCTTAGCTGCTATGTATCTAACATCACTGCATCTTTGTCATCCTTTCTCTCTCCTTCCTTCGTTCCCTGCTGTGCTGAGAATCTCAACCCAGCAAACAGAAAGGAGACAGGAGCCTTGTGTCCTGGCGTTCTCTCAGCCACTCGTAGCTCTTCCTGTTGTTCTCTGCCTTTGGGAAGTGGGGGGAGTAGGTACTAGATTATTACTGTAAGGCTTCAGTTTGGGTTCCCCCTTCTGTATCCACCTTTCCTAGAAATCACCAAAGCAAAGATGGGAAGCAGGTGGAGGCTGGAATTTCCTAGGGTGCCCAAAGGAGATAGCCGTACTCCTTTCCCACCCCTTACTAGAATGACGCGCCTCCTTTCGGTACCTTCTGTCAACTGTAGTCAATGTTTGGGTGGAACAGCATACTTGTTAGGAGCTCTGGAACAAAGAGTGAAAGGAGTATGCCTGCTTCAAAGATTTGGATAGCCATTGCCTAAAAGGAAGATTGAAAAACTGTAAAAATAATATTCTTCTGTCCATTAAGAAAATTACTCTAGGCAGTCACGAAAGGCTGGTTCTTCTATGTTCCCCTGCTCCCAAGTCCACCAGAAAAGTTTGGCTAATTCACTTATTGAAGCTAGGCTGTGGACAAAGTTTTTACTTAAAGTATGAATTTTAGATGTGTTCACCCTTCCTATAACTCATTCAGCTTAATATTAAGAAAGAAGAGATCATCAAAGGAGGAGTGAAATTTCTGTTTTCCAGTGCATGAGAGATTGCAAATCTGAAGATGTGATCAGGAGCAGGTGGTGGATATGATAGGAAAGAACTAGCACCTTGATGTTACTGGTCTGAGTAAGCTGTTGTCTCTCTCTATTGATGCCCTAGAAAATTTCATTCACATTTCCCTTTTAACTAACAGAAACTAATTAGCCAGGACCACTGTTGTCAAGTGGTTACATAAAATGATGTCTAGATGTTAACTCAAATTACAATCCTTATGCTAGCTTTAGATCAACAAAGGATGTCCTCTCAACAAATCATCACTTCCTAAAATAAAGGCAGTTTTTATGTACTGCGTGTGTGTACAAGAGCTAATTAACAGTAAACCCTATGTAATGCAGGCAAATCCTTTTATAGCTGTTTTGTACCCCTGCACAGTATGACTTCAATAGAATTTCACAGCAGCTCTGAGTAGGTGATGGGGAAGGGAAACCACCTCTAATAAACTGCTTATGTTCATTGCTTTTATGGCGCTCTGCTCCCTTGCTTGGAGGAAAGTGTTCCATATGCTTTGTATTTTTATAGAATAATTATAGTCATTCTGGAGGGGAAGAGGATCTCAGTATAAAATAAGAGGAAAAATAGGATCAGTGAATAGAAACTAAGCTACGTTACTTCATTTGTAAAAGATGCTACTCTTTAGAGACCTTTAATGTGGAGCTTTCTGACGCTGTATCAAAACAGGAGTTGAAGAAACAGAGTTATATTTATTTTCTAAGAATCAAGACTAGAAAAAGAGGCAGTTTCTGATCCTGCTTCTGTGGGTTGGATAGA